GAAAGGGTGCAGGAGGGAGGAGCAAGGTCACTCAAGTGGCCAGTTATCTAGGTCACCCGAGCTTTCTGAAAGAGGGACCTTTATGTGTGGGAGCAGCGTGATTCCTATCTGGGTTGTCTTGCTAGTAGACTGGCATTATGTTTATTCAAGCTGGATGTCTTTTGAAATGGATGCCTCAGCCATCAAAAGCTTATTGTCAGGCACTTACACTATACTGTCCCTACCTGGCACCTGGTCCTGGGGTGATCAGGGCAAGGGCATAATGGCTCTGGATTGGTTGGTTTGCACATTAAAGTTGAGTTGTTTGCTATCTCCAGGAACTAGCTAACCCTGAGGAACAGTCCCTCCCTGGTTAGGGAGACCCCAGTTGCCAGAGCATCAAGAATGCAGAAAATATAGACCAGCTGGTGTGGCTCTGTGGTTGAGCATTGACCTATGAACCAGGAGGTCACAGTTTGATTCAAGGTCAGAGCATATGCCTGGGTTTCAGGCTCAATCCCCAGTGTGGGGTGTGCAGGAGGCAGCCGATCAATGAATCTCATCATCATGGATGTTTCTGTCTCCCTCCCCATTCTCTGAAATCAATAAAAATATATATTTTTAAAAAGAATACAGAAAATATAATTAACATACATCCTAACTGCTAGGTGAGGAGGACAGGCTCTTCTCTGACCCTCTTTCCTCATCACTGAATGGGGTGGCTAGGGCCCTGATAGCCTCTTTGTGGGGCAGTGACCTCACTGACATCACTGACACCCTTGTAGGTGGTCTGGATATTCATCATCAGCTGGCTCCATGCCACCCAGTGATGGGCAACACCCACGGCTCCAGGCAGGGTCCTATACAGGGTCTCGGGGCTCCCATGTCTGGCTGGCAGGAAGCTGGCTTCTGATATAAGATGTTTGGAAGGGATGAAGCGGGTGGGTGCACCAGGAGGGCTTCCAGGAGGTGGTAAAGCTTGGTTTTGGGACCCTGCCCCCACTAGGAGAAAGTGGTTGAGGGGGGTTTTGGAGTCTAGGAATTAGGCAGCATGTTGGGGGCTGAGTTCTGTGTGGGGCAGAGGGGGTTGAGGCTTGGGAGGTGGGCTGCTGCCAGGATAGGGGGGCCTTGACTGACAGTGGAGCAGAGGGTGCCCTACCTTCTGGGGTACAAGGCCTTCCCTCTGCACCCTGTGGGTGCATCCGAGCTGGCCAGGACGTCCTGTTAAAGAGACGGAACCATGGTAGTTGACAGGAAGGAGTTATCACAGAAGTGTTTTCTTTTTTAAATTCTTTGATTAGAGAGAGAGAGAGAGAGAGAGAGAGAAAGGGAGAGAGAGAAACATTGATTTGTTGTTCCACTTATTTATGCATTCCTTGGTTGATTCTTGTATGTGCCCTGACCAGGGATCAAACCCACAACCTTGGTGTTTCAGGGGGACACTCTAACCAACTGAACTACCTGGCCAGGACTGAGAGCAGGGTTTTCTTGTTTTTAGTTTCTGGGGTTTTCTCCTTTGCTCAGGCATGGTCAGCTGCAGTGGGCCAGGGGTAATGAGGCTGGCTGCAGGTGTCACACGCTACCTAAGCAGAGGCCTAGGATTTGGATCTTTCTGAGATGTCACTTGGGTTTTCAGTTATCAGGGAAGCCAATCACTGCACGCCTAGAGCTCCCCACAATCGTCGATATACTCTCATGGTTCTGGGTTCACTAAGCTGGCTGCTCCCCCATTTTTTGTTTTGTTTTGTTTTGTTTTTTGAGGAATCCAGATGTTCAGTTTATTTAACTAAGCCTGGTGAAGCCATAGCATGAAGAAAAGCTGCAGTCGCACTAGCTAGTTTGGCTCAGTGGATAGCACGTTGGCCTGTGACTGAAAGGTCCTGGATTCAATTCCGGTCAAGGGCATATGCCAGTGGGAGGCATGCAGGAGGAAGCTGATCGATGATTCTCTCTCATCATTGATGTTTCTATTTCTCTCTTCCTCTCTGAAATAAATAAAAATATATTTTGTAGAAAAAGGAAAGAAAAGCTACAGTCATTTGAGACAAATGGATGATTTTATAAAGTTAAAATCAAAAGACTTAAAAACATGGAAAATTCATTAAGTATGATTAAGTAATAAAACACAAAAGTGACCACAATAATTAAAAATATGTTTAAATCGCAGACCTGGGAAATGGACTGTTCACAGCCTTCTCTGGAAAAGAGAAACTCCTTACGTGTTCTGACAGCACTGCGCCTTCGGCTTATTTTCAGTGGTTGGTGGAACATGAATAGGAACCACATTGTTGCGTGGAGACGTTATTTCCACATCTGACATTTGCTTCTGGGAAACAGTGTGGTATATCTCTGCCAGAACTCTCTGAAAAGCAGCTTCTACATTTGCAGAGTCTAGAGCTGATGTCCCAATGAATGACAAACCATTCTTTTCGGCAAAAATTCTTGCTTCATGTGTAGGAACTGCCCTGAGATGACGCACATCACTCTTATTGCCCACACGCACGATGACAGTGTTACTATTAGTATGATCTCTTAGTTCTTTCAGCCATCGCTCTACATTTTCATATGTGAGATGTTTAGCAATGTCACCAACCATTAAGGCACCTACAGCTCCATGACAGTATGCTGATGTGATAGCTCAAAATTGCTCTTGCCCAGCTGTGTCCCATATCGGTGCCTTTATTGTTTTCCCGTCAACCTGGATGCTTCATGTTGCAAACTCTACTCCAGTGGTGCTCTTGCTTTCAAGATTAAACTTGTTTCCAGTAAACTGAGACAAGAGATTATTCTTTCCAACACTGGAATCTCTGGTAAGGACAGCTTTGAAGAGGTTGACGTATTTGTCTCGTGGGCGCCCATAGCAAGGAGTGAAGGGGTAGAAGTAGCGATGGAATGGGTGGGACCAGGGGGATGTTGCTGCAGGGGGTCCCTCCCCTTTTTAATGTTACTATCATTTTATTTTTTTCAAGTTTAGAAACATTTTTCAATTACAGTTGACATTCAATATTAGTTTCAGGTGTCAGACATTTATATAACTTATGAAGCAGTCCCCCCATAAGTCTGGGACCCACCTGACACCATACAGTTGACTACCATATATTCCCTATGCCATACTTACATCCCTGTGATTACTTTATAACTGCAATTTGTACTTCTTAATCTATTTTCCCTTTTTTACTCATTCCCCAACCCCTTCCCATCTGGCAATCATCAGTTGTTCTCTGTATCAGTGAGTTTGTTTCTATTTTGTTTGTTCATTTATTTTGTTTTTAGATTCCACATATAAGTGAAATCATATAGAATTTGTCTTTCTGCCTAACTTTTTTCACTGAGCTTAACACTCTTTAGGTCCATCCATGTTACTGCAAATGGCAAAGTTTCATTCCTTTCTATGGCTGAGTATATTTCATTGTACATATGTACCACAGTTTATTTTATTTAAAATTTTTAAATAAATCTTTATTGTTGAAAGTATTACATTGTCCCCTTTTCCCCCCCATTGTCCTCTCCCACCCCCCTCCTCCCAAGCCTTCACCACCCACTGTTTGTGTCCTTGGGTTATGCATATCTACACATGAATTTATTAGTTGATCTCTTCCCCCCCTCCCCTGCCTTACCTCTGAGGTTTGACAGTCTGTTCAATGTTTCTATGTCTCTGGGTCTATTTTTGTTCATCAGTTTATGTTGGTCATTAGATTCCACATATGAGTGAGATCATGTGATATTTATCTTTCTCCAGCTGGCTTATTTCACTTAGCA